TTCCTGTGAATTTTGTTTCAGAATCAAACAATACTTGTAAAAAGTACCTTTTTTTTAACTTTCATTCAAAAAATTCACAAAATTCTAACCTTTCATTGAAGTAAAACAATTGAAAGTGGGAGGAAACTCATATTATGAAATACATGTTTTTCTCCAAAGCATGCATGCACAATTATTGGCACCCCTAGAAATTCTTATGAGTACAATATCTCTGAAGTATACTGACAATCATATTTACATTTTAGCACACCAGGGTGACTAGCATGGACTAGCATGTCCAGCCATGACTTCCTGTTCCACAGGATTATAAATATGAGGAACACAAAGGCCAAATTCCCTTAATCATCCATCACAAGGAGTAAAATCAAAGAATATAGTTCTGATGTATGGAACAACATTGTTGAGCTTCACAAAATAGAAAAGGCTGTAACATGGGTCACCAAAATTGGTCCTGGAGGGCCGTGTTCTGCTTAGCTCCAACCCTGATCAAACACACCTGAACCAGCTAATCAAGGTCTTGCTAGGTATACTTGAAACTTCCAGGCAGGTGTGTTGAGGCAAGTTTGAGCTAAAATCTGCAGGACACCAGCCCTCCAGGACTGAGTCTGGTGACCCCTGCTGTAAGAAAATAGCTAAAGTAGGCCTGTCACGATAACCTCTTGTTGTGCAATATATTGCCACAGAAATAATTGCGATAAGCGATATTATTGTCATTTTAAAGACCATTTTATGCCACTGAATATATAATCATAATGTAACAGCTTAATAATGCAAGAAGGCCTACACACTTCCAAATGACAACAAACTTTTAATTTTTAAGAATATTTAGATCATGGGAAGTAAGTAGCAAAATATTAGATACCTTAAAAAACTTGAATAAATAGTAAATAAACATTTTCTAACAAAAAGTGCAAAGTAACAAGTACAAAAAGAGAAAAATGCACAAAGAACTTGTATGGAGATTTTTCCATCTACAGATTTTTCCCTGACCTACTTTCTCTGTAAATTAAGGGTGCACACTATTGCTGAAAAACACAATCACTATTTAGCAGTCAGATGCACGTATGCACAAAGGCACAGATCCCTAAACAAGGCCATATCTGCAGATTAAACTTTTTTTTGTAGAAGCATTTTTTAAATTTGAACTAGCACCTCATGACTACACCACGTTATGTACGAGACGCTGCAAAAGACCCAGGCGCAAGTGGAATGTAAAAAACACGGTGACATTAATTTTTAAGTAAATATAATGGGCGATATATTGCGTCACCAAAAATTATTGAGGTCATGTACATATATTGCGCGATAAGTCGATATATTGATTATTGCGACAGGCCTAAGCTAAAACAGTGAAAATCCCAATTTCCACCATCAGGGCAATAATTAAGAAGTTCCAATCAACTAAAGTACCACATTGTGTTTTATCAAGTCCAAACTCAATGCAGCCGTCTACCAGGAGATTTTGGAGCACTTTATGCTTCCATCTGCTGTCAAGCTTTATTGAGATGCTGATTTCATTTTCCAGCAGGACTTTAGCACCTGCCCACAGTGCTAAAACCACTTCCAAGTGGTTTGCTGACCATGATATTACTGTGCTTGATTGGACAGCCAACATGCCTGACCTGCAGCCCATATGTAATCTAGGGGATATTTTCAAGAGAAAGATACAGAAACAGAAACAATCGATCAAACCATACAGACGAGCTGAAGGCTCAATAGTGCCTCAGGAGTGCCACAGGCTGATCGCTTCCATGCCACACCTCACTGATGCTGTCATTTGTGTTAAAGGAGCCCTGACCAAGTATTGAGTGCATAAATTAACATACTTTAAAGAACTTGAACTTTTCTGTTTTGCAAATCCTTTTTTGATTGATCTTAGGAAAAATTCTAATATTTTGAGATACTGGATTTTTTACTTTCATGAGCTGTAAGCTCTAATCATC